TTTCTGTATTCTTGTTTCGTCTGTTGGGCCTTCAGTAGATTTTTGTTCTTTACTTCGATTAATAGATGATGATGATGATGATGATGATGATGATGATGATGATGATTTGCAATTTGATATCTGCAGTTTTAAAATGATCTGTGTACCTTTCCATGGCTTTAGCAGTGTAAGGCAAGTGCATTTCAATACTGTGTTCATCTTCATCTGTTTGCAAAGACATGCGCTCAAACATTCCAGTCTTCCACAGATCTGCATAAACTGAAAAATGTCGAATATATTAATAGACTAAAAAAAGAGGAACAAATGTATAAACAGTTGCATAATCCCTGCTCCCCTTTTCTGCTTTATGTTAGACCCATGATGGCGAACCTATGGCATGCACGCCCAAAGTGGCACGTGGAACCAGGTCGCCTGGCACATGCGGCGTCACCCGTTCCTCTCCAGATTTTTGGTGCACATGAGTGCACGATGATCAACTGGCCTTCATGTGTGTATTAGTGCCAGAAACTGGAAGACCTTGTCTTCCATTTTCCTGTGTGAGCAAGTGCGTCGGCCAGCTGATCATTGTACACACATGTATGTCAGATATCCGGAAGATGCGCACCAGAAGCCAGAAGTTCATTTTTGGGCGCACATATGCGTCATGGGCAGCTTCTCTTCCGGGTTGGCCCAGGTGAGCATGCACACACATTCCCTTTTCGGCAGTTGGTGCCGAAAAGTTCACTATCACTGTGTTAGACTTATGATTCCTGAAGAGTTAACATTGGAACCACAGCTTATAGTAAGAATGCTATTCATAATAGTTCTGGTAAAAATCCTCCCTCGCCCCCCGCCCCAACTTACCCTAGAAATGAAATAGGGTATTCCAAACAAACAAATAAAAAATGAAAACTGGTATTTTGTTGAGGGAAAGGTTTACACACATAAAAAACAGGACAATACATATGGAAATATGCAAGTTTGATTTGTATTTGATCATACATATTGTAGGTTTGAGAACACTAATGTAAGATTTCAACTGTATAAAATAAAGACACAACTATGGAGTAATGGCGCATTTAACAGCTTTTAACATTTATAAAATATAGTTAGGGCTATTTTTCAGACATATTTAGTAATTTTTAGAATCTAAAAGGATGTCTCAATTGTTTCTCTCAAGTTGCTTTGCAGCTTAGTGAGATTGAAAACGTTACTTAGAGCTAGATATGCACAAAATTAACCAATCTGGGAATAGGATTCACAGGAAGTGAATCAATAATTTCTACAAATAAATTATATGAACCAGAGGTAGTTAAAGGTATCCCAGAAAACGGATTCTAAATGAGTATTTCATCTGGAACACTTAAATCAGCTTCTAGGTGAGAGACTTTATAATATTCTGAAAAGTACCAACCACCTCTGGAATGACATGGTCAAGTAGGATATTTGACATGATCTGGAGTTGGAGCGGGATCTTTCTAAATTCTTCAAGGACGTTTCTCAATTCTTCAGAATGTCCTATTCCCAAATTGATGAGTTTTGCACATTCTAATTTAAACTATGAGTTTAATACAGGACTCCCAGCTGAAAATGTAGTTAATTTTTAAAGGAATATTCATTGGAAATAAACACATTTTCTTGTCATTTTGCAATTAGGCTTAGTGTATCGATTGAACCCAGGCACATAATTTTCATGTGGCTATGAATAACTTTTACTCCTTCCATAGCCACAGCTTACCTAGTCTGGATGTGACTTCCACTTCACCTTAACTTGGTGTAATTAAGTATCATCAATCAATGCAGTAACTGAGACAAAAAACAAAAGTAGCAACAAAGCAGAATTGCTTCCATTGACGTTATCTCCATTGTTCAGGTTTATTTAATCACTCCACGCAGGGTTCTTATTTTAAACGATCTGGTGGAAGGATTAGACTTTGCTCACTCCACACCTGGATGATCTGTGACTGACTAGATATGCTCCTGCATTTTTGTTTAAAACGTAAAATCTTGGAACTGGCAGCTGCCAGTTACCAAAGATGTAGAGCGGTAGCTGCAGAGAAATATAATAGGTAAACAACTGCAGGTTGTAGTAAATTGTGTTGTGTGTGGCATGCACTATGGTTAATATTAAATTATACTTACATGTAAATATACCTAAGACAGTCGCCAACAGTTCACGTACTGAGTTAAGCTTTAACATGGTTTGTTTTTTGACTTAATACACTATATGAATTCAGGCTTTTGTGTGTTAAAATTCTATGCAAACCCAGCCAATACGTAAAAGAAACAATAAGTATTAAACCTTCTGCATCAATACAGCTGCCTTTTTGTACAAATATTTAAGAGATAAACTATGCAGAATAAACAGTCTCAGAAAAATAACGACTAAATTTGCTAAGAGCTTATTTTGTTTGTGTATTGCATGAATTGTGTACAGTTACCCTTTTGATCAATTCGTAAATCATATAGGGGAGTTCTATATATATCCACACTGGAAAGTGCACATCTGGAGAGGGGCACATGATGGGAAGGCCCAAGGATGAAGATTCGCCGTCTGAAGATGAATAAGAAAAAACATTTGAGTAAAACATTTCATAACTAAAGCAGATCAAGAGGTTTTAGATAGATTCCCTTGTTTAATTTCTACATTATGTTTGTAACGTGGTTGATTGTGAGAAGTTGAATCACATAACATCTGGATCACATGAAGAGTTTTATAGAATTTGGCAAGCAGAATCCCAGGGAAAAAGTAATCTGCATTGGGACAAATATAGATTTGGTATTTGACAATACAAAGGCTTCTTCTGAACACAGAATAAATCTTTCAGATTCTTTTTTCCATTGCAACCTCGTGCTCTGCTTTCCATTTCATTCAAGATGATTCCCACACACATAAAAATGGATTTTAGACAAGTATGTTAAAAAAAGCATCAGTAAAAAATCCTACAGGTCTCCTATATTCTCTAGGATCCAGCTGATTATGCTTTTAACTCTGATAAACAAATTTCCACTCCTGACAAAATCCACCTTAAATAATTTTATGTTGTCTTAACCAGTATCTCTACAAACTGCATCTGGTTGTACTTAGGGCAAGAATCTTCTTGAATGCTACTTACGTAATTGAAGGATCCACTTGTTTGTATGCATGAGCTGCACAAGACCCACAGTAAGTATATCCTGCGTGTCTGCCAAAAACAAAAGACACTTTCTTTGAGGCTTTTTTTTGAATCTCTGTAAAAAAATCTCAATGAAAGAAATATAACTGGGTTTGATAAGCAGATTTTATTAGGCCAATCTACAGGTGAGTGCTCTTTTAGCTAAATACTAAAAATCAAGGTGAAACGCTTACTTATGTGGCAGAAAATAAGGTGGGTACAAGCATTGAGAAAACTATGATGTAATGATCAGATCTGGCCTCCAAGACCTCCTGAACCAACTCAGTGCAATGAGGACTATTCATTCAAATGTAATTCTTTTAAAGCAAAAGGGACTAGCAAGTAAAATCAGGCCTCCTTGGGAGCTACTGTTTCAAGCTGATTGAACCATATTGAAAAAAGTTCCTGGAATCTGCTCTTGTTTTTCCTGACAGGAAAAACAAGGAATGCCTATCTGGTTATGCCAAAGGCATACAGATTCTGAAAAGTTAGGTGGGGAGAGAGGGAACAGATTCATTGAAAGAAAAAATCCTCAGTCCTGGTGTGTATGCCCTATCAAGATTGTTAACTCTGGGAACAGAAAAGGAAAATTACATCTGTATATTTTAATTAATGATTAAAGCAATTTGAAGTTATTAATATTCTGCTTTCTCAAAGAGATTGCTCAGAAGACTTAACATTTCAAGTATTCTAAACACTACTCAATTGCGTAGCAGAAGATAGTGTATAAAGTATAACACTCAAAAAGTATAGTTTCCTGTGATTTGGGTTCAAAAAACCATATTTTGGAGAAAAGAATAATATGGACAAACATAAAAAAAGGATTCTTAAGGAGAAGAATTGCTTGAGTAATTACCAGTATCTACCGAAGTGTCTGTCAATATATATATATANACACACACACACACACACACAAATTTTATATATACATACACAAATTTGTGTTATTCTGGAACACTGGCATTTGTAAGAAATTCCTTTTTTCCCAAAGCATGCCAAAAATACCTCTGGTAAAAACTGAAGAAGGACACCCCCAAACCACATTCCCAAGTACATGCTGTATTGAAAGATCTGAAACATTAACCTAGGAGGAAGAAACACACAAGCAAAAAATGCAAATTTTGAAAAGGTTCTATGAGTCCTACAATGATAGAATTATTCTATGCACAACTAATAATACTTTGGCACATGCAGAAGCCATTTCTTTTGTACAAGCATCTCACCTCTAAGGACAAAAAATCCTGAATGTTAAACGTGCATGCAAGGCACTACTCTGACTTCAGACATTTCTTTTATTCCTCACTAGGCTTCTTGCCCACTGATTTTAATTGCTAATGCTTCTTTTAATTAAAACAAATGGGAAGCTACTCTGCTGGAAGTAGAGCTGCACAAACCACCCAGGGAAACTTAAATAAAGCACTTTCCTACTGCTTAAATTCAACTGCTTGAAGTGTTGAAGTTGAAGTTCTTTGCTTTTATGGCAGTTCTGGTGGAAGTACCTTCTTGCTATATATACAGACACTCATACTACGATGGGAAAGATGTTCCTGGTGTTCTCTGAACTTGGTTGTTTTTCTGCAGATGTTTCATTACCACCCTAGGTATCATCATCAGTGCACGGGAAGTAAGAGTTTGTTTAAAACAAGTAAAACAAGCCTTCAAATGACATGGGAATCTCAACATTCTGAGCAGTAGGTCTGGAGGATCATTTTAAGATGCACCCATCCAGATGGTTTGCACACCTTTACTGCAAAGAAGAGCAACAGCCTGAAGCATAGCCTGAATGTTTAAGAATGCTTTTGAGTGTAAATCTGATAACTATTTTTTGAAAATAAAAACAATGATAAGAGAAGGGGGAAAGAATGCATTGTTTAGAAGTATGACCTCCTGCTTAAGAAAGAAAGATTAAGGTAATCCATCCGTTTATCCATCCACCCACCTACCCAGCCATTTATCTATCCATCCAATTTATATGGTCATCTATCTCAGTGAGTGTCTCTGGGTAGCAAATAGAATTAGAATTAGAATAGAATAAAAACCATTATTACACATTTAAACACAGGCAATAGAGTACAATTAAGAAGTAGGTCCCTGCACAGTCAAGCCCCCAGAACCAGGGCTTTAGGGCTTTAGGAAAGGCCAGCAAGATTGAAGCATCCTCACCCCCAGAGGGAGAATATTTCATAAGGAGGCTTATAGCAAAAAAAGCATGCCTTCCAGGCCCCACCAAGTGGCATTCTTTCACTGATGGGACCAAAAGCATGTTTGATTGGATCAGATGGACACAAATAACTGAGGAGACACAGTCCCTTAAGTAACCCAGACCTAAACCAAGAAGGGCTTTAAAGATGGCATTCGGCACCTTGAATTTCTCCTAAAAGCACACTGACAACCAAAACACCAATATTACTGGTGTTTCATATAACAAATAACCAGCATCATTTACTACCCATGCTGACACATTCTGTACCAGCTGAAGCTTCCGAATAGTCTTGAATGACAACCCCATGTATAGGGAATTGCAATAATCCAGTCAAGAGATCATAAGGGCATAAGTGACAGTGATCAGAGCCTCTTGGTCCAGAGACAGCCACAGATGGTACACAACCTAAAGGTGTACAAAAGCCCTCTCAGCCATAGATGCTACCCATTGTTTTGAGCAGGATCAGTGAGTCCAGGAGAACTCTGAGACTACATGTGATCACAATTTCTGAAGTTTCCTGTTGGCTTCCTACAAAATCAATGAGGAAGCTGGCAGGAAGTTTTTTGCTTGCCTGCATTCTTTAGTGCTCTCCTTGTAGCACCTGTACACTCACCCACAAGCCTGCTTGCTTGGGACTCCCACTTCTTCCTGATCAACAACCTGCATAGACCCAGGGTTATGACAGCAACTGGGACCACCAGGATTATCATCACTAAGTAAAGCAGTCATATGAAATTGCACTTTATAAGAGCATCATTTAGTGATGGAAATTCTGGTCCCAACAGCCATCATAACCAGAGGACTACTTGTACTCAAAATGGAATAAACTATCTATCCATCCTGATGCTTGTCAGCTGCATTAGATGTCTATAGTTATAATCCCAATATAGTATACTGTAGATGATGGGTAACAATTCATCGCAATAGAAAGGCAACAAATTGGGGGATGTTAATGGGCAGCACCATGTTTTGCTGAAGCAGGTTTGTTATTTTAAAATAGGTTAATTTTAAAGGAGTTCTTTTGTGAACATGTTCAGATATATAATTTAACTTACCCCAATGACAGAAGTCAGAGGAAACCACAAAAAGATTACAAGGATCTGCTAAATATTTGCTGAAGAGTTTTCCAAATTCCTGTTCTTTTGTCTCACTCAGTGCTCCAACCAATACAGGAACAATAGTAAACTCATCCTTATGGCTAAAAAGAAGAAAAAGGATTCAGAACTTCATTGGTGCTATTTTAATTTTTTCTTCATATTCAAATGATTCTGTAGAGCCTGATGAGCTCCCTGCAAAAGTCTCACTATTCCTGACAATGAATAGGGTTTGGCACACCTGGCAAAAAACATTTAGATTTTGAATTTCTTGTAAATGATTGCCAGGATGCCACATATGATGGTCACAGATGTCAAGGAGCCTGGCAATGTTTCTCTTCCTGAGACACCTGGTTTTGGTTCACTAATTCTTTTAATTTACAAAAAAACAATATAAGTTAAATTGTTCAAAGCAAAGCACCAACCTCAACCATACAAAGACTCAAGATATATTGTTAAAAAATAAAATGGATTGTTGGTTGCAAATTTATGGTTTGTTAGGAAGCATGTCAAAAACTGTCAGGAAAAAAAAAGACAACCTGCAGGAGAGATTAGAAAAATAATAGGGTGCATCAATGAGTAACATCATTACCGTATTTTTCGGAGTATAGGACACATCTTTTTCCTTCAAAAAAGAGACTGAAAATCTGGGTGCATCTTATACACTGAATACAGCATTTTTTTCCTCCCGAAACCTCACCCCCTTCACCAAAATGGCCATGCAGGCCATGGAGAGTCTCTAGGAAGCTTTTAGAGAGCTCCAGGGAGCTGGGGAGGGCAATTTTTACAAACACCCCACCCTCAGGAGCACTATAAGCTTACTAGAGGCTATCCATGCCCTCTATTTTTTGCTCGTTTTTGCCCCCCACCCCATCCCTCCAGGAACACTTTGCAAACTCCCTAAAGGCTATACATGCCTTTTGGGGGGAGGGAGCGGGCCTGTTTTGGGGAAAAACAGGCCATTTTGGGGAGGTTTGCAGAGTGCAAAAACTTTTTTTTTTATTTGCCTCTTCAAAACCTTGAAGCGTCTTATTCTCTGAAAAATACGGTAATTTACATTCCTTAAATTTTCAGTCAAGGCAAGGTTGTTAGGGAAGTCGGGCTCTAAGTCCTGCAATGTAGGATGCCTCAGGCTCAAGCCTTTTACTTTTCCTTTGTAACATCTACCTAAAATGACTTTTGGAATAGCACCCAGTGTGCCAATTACCACTGGAATTACCACTGCTGGTTTGTGCCATANGGTGTTATGTGGGCGAACCGTGGTCAATGTTTCCTGCTTTGTATTTTAGCCAAAGTTGATCTACTGATGCATTAGTTTTACTAATACCAATGGAATGGAATGGAATAGAATATTTTTTTATTTACAAATGTAAATTAAAATGGTGCAAATGACTCATTTCCCAATAAACACTGGGGAAAAAGATGAATCAGAAAAGAAAAAAGAATCAGATTTCTTGCTTAGGTAACAGGAGACAAAAATCACAAGAATATTGTAGTTTTAAAACCACGGTCAGCTTCTCATTTACCGCATTTGTCATTATTTCTTAAAGCTTTACTTGGCGAGAACCATATATTCAGTTGTTGAAGATAATCCTCTGATGTACAGATAATACTATCCAAACATATTAAGATCAATAATACCTGCTGAGTTAGCACACTGCTGAATGTAATTAACTTTACATCTGCCATAGCCTGTCTCAAATGTTGTTTATAAACTCCTGTTTGGAGTTCACAATTAAATTAACATTATTCATTGTTAGAAAAGAAAACTAATTTCCT